TTTGTAAAGTAAATTTTATGGATAAATTGAATGGAACATAAATCATGGGATTTGAATTTTCATTCTTTTATACTTATTGACAAATTCAATTTCTTCAATCTCAATCATATGAATAAGGGTATGTAGGTAAAATAACCATTAACTAGAGTCACTCAGGAAAGCGCAGATTTCCAATTCAGTGTGCTCGTTAGGCCACGCAACTTGGCAACTCCGTCATTCCGGCAAACAATTCCAGACTTCTCAACATCGGTGAATTTGATGATTTTGTTGCGTGTTATAAATCCTCTTTATATTGTCTGGGTCCCCGCGAGGAGGAGGGTGGGCTGCGCCGACCAAGGAAGCAGTGCAATACTGAGGCGACACTGGCGAGTACGAAGCAGCAAGCTACTCCATAGGAACCCCGTGAAAGAAATAAGATTAATTTCGTGAGGGTCCATGACACTCGTAATCATCTCTACCAGGGGATTTGTGTTTTCGTCCCGGAGGTGTGACTCGGCCAAACTAGCTAGCGCATGTTGTGAAGTTCTAGCAGCTTGAATCATGGCTCTCAGCCGATGCGACTCACAGAAAGACCCGCGCCAGAAGCAGGTTGATTCCCAAAGATCTGAGAGATCTGCCCGGAGTCTCTCGAATACTACTGATACCGTTGACTGGGAGTTTTGCAGTACAGTTCATTCCAATTTCTTGGTTCGAAGGGAGTGGCAGATGTTACACAAACCAAAGCCGTTCGGAGCAGCACAAATCTAGATGAGCCTCCACATATCTCAGTTTTCTGAGTTTGTGGAATCGGACTACATATCCGTCTATTCATCACGAAACTTCGACTCCTCGCATGTAACCAAATTGGTTGAGCCGCGTCGATGACCTATACTTGATCTTTTTTGAATCCACGAGTCGGCTGCGCCACTTAGTTTGACCATCATTTGGGGCCCTGAAATATTATGAAACCACTTACGCTTCTGAGCGTGAACGTGGGTACAAGGTCCTGTTTGTTTAGATTGGGTCTCCCAGTGGAGGGAGGATGGGCTGCGCCGGCCAAGGAGGTAGTGCAATACCAAGGCGACACTGGCGAGCCCAATGAAGCAGCTAGCTACTCCATTGGACTCGCACCCGTGAAAGAAATAAGATTAATATCGTGAGGGTCGATGACCCTCGTATCAGATATTAAACTGATAAGAACAGATACTACACTTGATCTTAGCCAAAAGGCCGAGAAAGGTATGCCTCTGTTGTCGAGGCCGGAGACTTATGGGTGTCGAGAGAACCCAGTGCCTCTGCACTGTGTATGGTTTTGTGAGATAGTTCTAACGCTACTGTTCATAATGCAAGAGACTCTCCACAATCCTTTGATACGAATCTTTATCCATTCCATAAGCTGTTCAGAACTATGAACCTGTTGCGTCTATGCCGCAGTCGAGGTCACTTGCAACCATGACAAAGTTCAGAAAGCTTCGTTGTGGAGTCTTTCAGAGACAGAGGCTACTTGCTTTCATAATTGCAGCAGCTGCCATCTCCTTCCCACAGCACTAGCATATGGAGACGAGAACTTCTCTTATGAGGAGGATCCTTTCAGCTGATGCCCACCACTGCGCGGGAACGTCACAAACCGCCAGAGTTCTTCTTGAGAGTTCGGATAGCTGAACCATAGTACCGATCGGGCCGGTCCATTTCCACCCCGGAGTAACTAGATTGTTGACTTACAAATAGCGTTAGGAAAGAATACCTCTTCATCATGAATTCATATCTAATTGTTGAGTAGTCCTCTAAGTACCCCTAGGCGAGGTAAAAGATTACCGGGTAAGGCATGGGCCTTTACATTACTAGCAACACTACTACTATCTACCTTTATCGTTACCTGGTACTGTGGTTTAGGGTTTAGGAAAATTCAATTTGCCAATAAAAGCTTATCAAACACTTCATTTTTTTCTTGTCCTCCATCCACGGAATTGGATGGAGGATTCCAATTCCGTGATGGAATGGAAATTCTCCATATCATTTGTGTCGGGGGCTGTCATGTGCAAGAGCTTAATTTTTAATTCCTTATCTACACTTTGTGCTTTTAGGAGATTATATAGAATATCGATTGCGGTTGGAATTACCCATTTGGCTTAAACCTGCATAGCTGTTTTCTGGATGAGTACACATCTTTGTACTGAAGAAGCAGAGAGGCATATACTTTTGACAAAATTGATATTATGGATGCACAGGCAATGATAGCCTTATGCGGGGTAGTTAGATGAATTTTTTTCAGCCATCTGTAGAAAGAATTTCACCGGTATGCAAAGCCTTCGTGCATCTCTTTCTCCCGAGTTAGAGTACACGCACATTCGAGTAAAAACTCGCCAGTCTCTTTTTTCGGTGTGTTTGGTTTAGGGAACGTGAAATTCCGTAGATAAAATTCCGGATTTCGTTTTACTAACATAAAACCAAGTTAATAGGTAAAACCTATTGACGGAAAGCCAAGCCAAAGGCAAAACATCATGACTCAAAATTTGAACCAACAAAAGAAGAAAACCTATACCAAGTCGACTGTTGTTTCCATATTCAAGGAGAATCTGCAGAATTACAATCTGATTAATTCTGAGAGGGTCCGCGTTTTTGGTTTTCGCAGGTAAGAGGGTTACTGGTAATTACTGGGTAATTTAATTAACTCTACCTTTACATTACCCCTTACCTATACCCAAATCTCTAACTTTTACCCCTACCTTCTACCTTTTTACCGGGTAACCTTTTAGGGCTACCTTACCTTGCCGAGGCTTACTCCTAAGTACGCAACTTGAACTTAGAAGGATTTTGCATACATAGCTGGTAGGTGAATCCTTTGGTAATATAATTTGTCAATCTTATGGTTCAGTTGCAATGTCAAAAACCTAAAGAATAATTCTTCAATGAATCCTAACGATGAAGACAAATTCTTCCAGTAAAGTGACTCTAGCGCATGAATAGAATGCTAGTGAAGGAGCTATATGAAAGATGCGGAACAAGCGTGAAGCTAAAGAGAAGACTATTTTTTTTCTCTGTTTATTATATCTTGCCATCGTCCAAACAAAAAAAATTGCATAAAGTTTATCAACTTGGAAAATGGAATTCAAGGCATCCTAGCAATGGGTAAGTTAATTCACAGTGCGTCAAGGATTGCAAAAGAGATAGCTGAAGTCAACAAATCTGATCCAAGATTCTTGGTACAGTAGCTTTAGACACATGTTGAAGTCGGTATGTTAGTGCATGCTAAAATCATGGTCCAATCGATCAACCCTTCATGGTAAGAAACACCAGGTCTGTCTTAAATACTCATGGTCACAATTCAATACTAACTTCATGTTCTAGTTTCATAATTCCTAGTATGCAAAAATCCTCCAGAGCATTCGGTTTTACAAAGGACATACAATATCAAAAGTGTTGCATATTACTTGATTGGTGAAAAAACTGTCATATTTTTGGAATTACTGGATTACAACTCTCTGCTTTAGCAGGTCAAAGTTCAAACACCTGGTGAGGCGCAAGACATGAAAAAGTCTAATATGTGCATGGATCTACTTTTGTACCCTCCTCAAATGTATAACGTGAACAATAGTCAATCTCAAATTACGATTTCTTTCAATAGAGCCATCTCATTCTAATGAAAAAGATAAAAGAAAAAGTATCGATCACATCATCTGTTGATGGAGGATGATAGCATTTCCAAGCTGTGGACGACGCAAATGTTTGTTCTGAATGGTGCTAAAAGCTGCGAATCCATCCAGATCTGAATCAAGAAACTTCCTTGAGATTGTTTTCCCCATTCAACTCAAAGCCTTGTTATGTCTCATCGTCCATAGTTGGCATAATACAAGTTTGTACATCCTAGCACATTGGTACGTTGAAATCACAATGTGATCATAAAAAAAAAACTCAGATTGCATGGAGTTTCTAGCGTGAAGAATCTAAAAGAACAGAAATCCTACATGCTCTTGAAGTATCTAAAAGAAAAATCATACATTTAAAAAAATTCTGAATTGTGTGATAAAAATATTATTCCAATCTTTTCATGAACAAAAGCTAACTAGTTTAACTTATCATATTTGAATGAACTGAAAATAATCAAAACCTTGAGAAAACTACTAACATTTCAATCATTTTCACATCTCTTTCAAGTATAAAAAAATATATTTGATAAATGTCAACCATATTTGAACATTACCATAATTTGTATCAATGTATAAACTTCATACAATTCATATAATCTTGCATTTATACTTGTATTTAATTATCAGTCTATGTTCAGAACTCATGGTATTACACAAAATCTCACTATAATCCACAATCTCTACTAGTCTTGTCTTGTGTTGTCTAAACGAACGTAGTAAAATCCACCAAGTTCATCCACTTAATCATCGTTCTGCCAAAACTAACAAAACACACTTTGATTTCCTATGTTTTTTATCTTCGTTCTTTTAGTGTTCTCGTCTAGTCCATCCTCCACGCTAGCATCATATTTCAGCTTTTTCCATCACGGACTTGTTTACTGCCATAATTAATATCCAGTTCTCTCCTTTTCTTCAGACTGAACTCGCTCTTCAATGAATGCATCCTGCCTCAATTGACACTTGTCACCTCATGTCATCATGGATGATGATGCAAGCAAAAATGATCTGCAACGCAGCAAAACATGATTCATCAACACTCTTCTTATCATACTAGCCACGTCACAACAGCACATAATGTATTTACAGAAATTAGTGTTTTGATATTTTACAACGTGAGATGTAAATGTCATGAAGTTGTTGTCTGCAGGTGAGTGGACATAGTCAACGAGCGAAAAATCCAGACACCATACTCGGCTTGACGCACTAGAATAACATTGAGTCATAATATCAAGTATTTCTGTATTGATTTTATTGTGTCTAATTAGTAAAAGTGTGGTGTTTTAACATGGCTCATTTTTTCAAACAAGAATTACGGATAGACAAGTTTTGAGTACCGATATCACGAGACAGTTAAAATAATATTTTACTGCCATCCAGAGTGGAGTCTTTGCATGGTCAAGAATGACTACAATGGTGACTCATATGCTCTCATATTTGAAGACCTTAAAAAAGCTAATCGATTCACATTAAGATGTTTAAACTGTCATCTTAAGATTTCTGTTTTTCTCTCATACATCAGTTTGGTTTCGGTATGAGGCAATATTCAATCCAGAATCTATATTAACAAGTAGTAGCTAGCTAGCAACTAGCAACTAACTAGCAAGTTTAACGAATAAGTGATAAGAAATTACATAGAGTATTAAAATATGTGACCCTTCTATAACTCGCGATCGGAATGCAGTTCTTGAAATTAGGCGGAGCATAAATTATATGGGCTCTTGTTCAAGGTAAACACTGATCTCCCTACGACAGTGTCTCAAGGGCACACGCAAAGGTAATGTCAGCTGAGATACCTGGGAGAGGACATAGGGAACAGACGACCTAATCTAGAAAGTTGAGATACTGCATGAGCTCATGTAGGTACTATCGAGGCACCATAACCGAGGCTTGTGAATCGGCGGCAAATGATGACATTAAGGCAAGTTCGGCTGATTCTCCTTGAACGCCTTGTCTACTAGGATAGGCATCCACGTAGTGTTCGTCCTCTGATATGCTCCACAAGTATGGTGTCTGGGATTTTAGCTCGTTGACGATGTCCACAGCTACACTTGCATTTGAGTTCTTCATGAGGACGTTCAAAAGTTGAGACATCGTTGCGCGTTTCTTGGGATCTGCTTGCAGACAAGACAGAGCCATGTTCACCACGAGCAGTACTTCTTCTTCGTCATAATCGCCCTCCAATCTTTTATCGACCAAGTTCAAAACCTTGCCTTCCGTGTACAAAGTTATAGCCTGCGCATGTCATGAGAATTGAGAGGTTGAAGAGGAAAATAGCTGTAATCAGATTCGCGACGGTATTCTGATGAGTGAAATGGGCAGAAGTAGCAGAGAAAGGAGGCAGATGAGTATCTCCTCAAAGCCTGAAACTTTATGAGCTGGATTTGGAATGTTCGTGCTATAATGATGCAGTGCAATATAAGAATCACCCACCCAGGAGCGTAGAATACTTTGTTCCTGTGGCAACTTCAGATCGATGCACTGTCTTCCAGCAACGATTTCCAGCAAGACAACACCAAAGCTTTACACATCCAGTTTCTCGGATAAGACGCCTTCTAGTGCATACTCTGGTGAAAAGTAGCCCCTGTAGTTGCATGGAAAAGAATCCAAATTGTTAGTGCCTTGCTCTAAGGGCATACCACATTCAAGTCTCAACTGCGAGTATCACCAATTGAGTGCAACTGTCGTGCATTTGATACTCATGAATCCATTCGGCCTTTAGAAGTACCTCGTTCCTCCAATGTTCATGGTGAATTGAGTGTCATTTGAATCATTAACACCAGACAAGTACACAACTCGTGCGTACTTTCCTCGATGATCCCTTCTTCTATTGATATCAGATTAAGCAAGCGATTTCACAAGAAGAACCTTTTAAGTAGATAAACTAAAAAGCTCCAGCATTGAATAACAAACCTGCTCTTCGTTCTATTCTTTTGGAACTTCAGGTACTCTACTTTGTTGAGGGGGGTACGTATAAGCTGATGCGGGAGGTGGGTATTGATGTGGTGGTAAATTCCTGTAATCAGGCGGCGACGTGTACTTGGGAGGATAAGTATCAACAGACGCGTAAGGCGGAACGGCCCTGGAAACGCCTGGGTTGTAAGCGAAGCTTCCTGACTGAGTGTAGCCACCAGGCTGGGCATAACCAGAACGTAATTGGGAATCTGCGTGTAACACTGCTTGAGGTGGAGGAAGAGGTTGAATGTGTTGAGTTCGTCCCATACGTCGCCTGGAGTAAACAAATTCAAAAACCGTAAAACATTCACTCACACATCAGAAAATAAACTTCATTGGAGGTTGTCACACTTTCAATTCATCAACTAATCAAGATGGAAATCAGCTTCACAGACTTGACGATCCGTTTGAGAATATTACCCCAACAATCGAAGCTCTTGAGTTGCTTTGAACTGTTGTGGGATCTCCATCAATGCAGACAGGGCGAACTTTGCTTCCCTCTGTTCCATCGGCAAACCTCTCGACATAATATCCGTAAAGTTCACAAACTGCAAGAAAGACGATACAACTTCATCAAAGTGTTGCGCTTAACTCACAGGAGGGATAACTGAACACTAGTCCTGTGACCATTCCTTGGACAAAAATGGGGACAACTTTTTTTTTCACACTCGAACATATCTCATAAGCTGTAGTAATCAACAGACAAATGTCTCCTAGAGGTGGCACACCTGAAAATTGTCAAATGCGCGGGCTGGGATATTGTCATCAAATTCCCGCATCATATCCCAAGGTCCATCACCCACACCAACCAGTATGATTGACAAGGGGTGGTCACTGCACACGTCATTGGAATCAGATATATTTGAAGATCTTGGCAGCAGCTATTTTCAATCTGGATCCGATATTTCACATATTTGAAAAACCTAGAAACAACATCAACACACGATATAAAACAGAACGTACCTGGCTGCCACTATTGCATCAATAGTCGCTTTCTCCTGAGCACTGAGTTTTCCAGGTCCTGTCTCGCCACTACTTGTGACCTGCGATTCAGAAAATAACGCCGAATTGCACAGTTAGCGCAACCAATGCGTCATTTGGACATGTTGAAGGTTTTGAACAGCCACTATATCCCATATGCATACTTTCAACCTAGCGCGCCTCTCCCTTAAGAATGTTCGCGCATTTATTTGAAGACGATGCTTCGTTTCCCGCTCAGGTCCAGGCAACTACGCGATAAACTCGGATTCAAAAAAACCGCCATCTGCTGTGGAAACCTTAGCTCGACTACAATTTCCATGTAAATGTGTTCACGTGGAGACTATGATTCTCACCCTACCCCCAGTGCTGACAATGACACTGAAACGATCGAAGCGTTACAAGGCCAACTCAGAGTCTGCAAGCAAATGGAACTGACTTCACAAGCACGCATACCTGCCCATCCGCAACGATGACTAGCACATGATATTGACCACCACTTTCCTCCACGATGCCCACGGCTGCGTCGATGATTGGGGCGAAAGATGTAGGTCCTGTAAACGACGCATTTCTAGTTTAGACTGATTCTACAATTCGCCGAGCCAGAGGCATTCGTGCAGTTTGATCTGTTCAACTTCCCTCAAATCGCAAACTTCTGCTGATCTGCTCGTGGGCTTGTAAGCTTAAAGTCAGCCGGTAATAAATCCTAGCAGGTGCATTCCAAGCTTTACGAACAGATACGACTGCAGAACTGAGGAGCGACAAATTGGATAAATCTAGATGCATCTTTCAGTTACATCGAAGTCTTTTGTCACAACTTCATTTGAAAAGTAGATCCACAGAAAACGGCATCACGCTTCTGAGCTACATAACATATCGCGATGTTTTAGACCTACCACCAAGGCGAAGACAAGGCACCAACTGTCGGTATCTATGAAGCGCTTCCTCAAAACCGTGACATGGACGCTGATCTTCGTAGAAGCTAAACACGAAGTGATCATGGGTTGGAGCTGCGAATTGCACCAGGCATTTGTGAGAAGGCTAGAGAGCAAGACGTAAATTACTTTAGGAATTTGCCACGTGTCCTCTGCCTGAAACGCCAAGTTGCCAGAGAGAGTTCATCCGACAAAAAGAGGCCTCACACTGAAAATAAAGGGTTTTATTTTTTTTTAAATAAACTTTCTAACTCAGTCATATGTTTGTCCTAAATGAAGACCATTGCAAACCCAGACTATAAATCCATAAGGCTCGATATAGAATTGCTCATAAGATGGACGTGTCCTCTACAGGTTGTTAAAGGAGATGAAGAAGGTGCCAAATCTACCACAGCGAAGTCTTATAAAGGTCATAAACTTCCGTACTCAACTGACCATATGATTACTAGAAATCCCCGTTCTGTCTTTAGATCAATCTCCTATGCATGACGTACTTTGGCGTTGATCGACGACAACAGAAGGCGGTGCTCAAAGATAGTGGAAGACGATCACGGACTAAACGATAAATCAAAGAATCGAGAACTCACCATCTCCGAAGCCAAAACATGGTATCAGGTTGTCTTCGTCGAATTTTGACAATGTTCGACCGATAATGGATATGGCATATTCGTAAGGATTATAGTGCTCTCCAATTGCGTGAAGGCTACGCCCATTGTAGCACTGCTTTCCTGGAAAATATGAAGCACGTTCCACGTGTCAAACTGAGTTGAAGTCGACCCCGGAGGCGTTTCAGAGTGTAAATGGCTATCTTTGCACGTAAATATCTGTGAGGCTGTCTATCCGACTGTACTCGCTGGCAGAAGCTGATGCTGTCTACAAACTGGTGTACTCCAATAACCAGCTGCCTTTTATGCATGCAAACAACTACCATTCGACCTTGTGTCGTCCTGATGCACGCCCTGCTTTAATATCGTACTGAATTACGAGTTCGAGTCCCCTTGCGGAGAGCAGGGTGCACGAAAGGACTAGTCCGGACGCTTAATTTGAACTTCAGGTTTGAACCCTTACCAGTCCACTCATTGCTCTTGGTGAAGTCAATCCCCAGGATCAGGTTTGACGATTCTAGACCGGCGTTCACTAGGGATTCTGTGACCTGTATCAAGAACGAAAAATTAATTTCTTCCTTATTGACACAATACAACAAAAGCACGTACGAAAGGGAACAAGTATTAGTTGGACGTCTACACCCCCCAAATTACACTCGCCGACGGAGCAGAACAAGAGGGAGCTCACTGAAACAAAGTCGTGTAACTGTCGCGTTTGATGGCAAAAAAATCATGACAAGCTACTGGCAACAATACGTCCAGCTAAGATCCCCAAACGCTCATCTCCGTCGTCTCCTTGGGCGAAATTGAGCTAATTATTCGCCATTTTTGAGGTGGCAATCATATGGAGGTTGTCCTTAAAAAACTACTTGCCTGTTCGAGGGATTGGTATTGATCAGATATATACGAAAATTTCCTCGAAAAGCGTCGGTTCAGCCGTGAAGCTGATGGGACAGGCCTCGATGTATCGAACTCAGGCGCGGGAGGCTTCACGTGCGATTGGCCGCCGCCCATACTATTAGCCCTTTGATTCCAAGTTGGGGTTCTGCTTGAGATATGCAATTATTCCGCGAGGAGAACCCGGGATTTTGGCGATAAAGAGAATAAAAGGTTGATGCGCTCCGTGCTGCCTGAACCTGTTTGTGCTACACAACGTAACAATTTCCCTTCCTTTTGAAGTGTTTCTAACTTCGATAATTCCTTCCGCACGATGATCACCGCCGGTTTCTTCCCTGCAACCCACCGCAGTCGACTTTCGACCTGCCTTGCAGAGTGGTTCGAGATCTGACAAACCTCAGAGCACCAGTGCTTCAATCGTACACTTCTATCACAATCCGGATTCTTCCACAAGCTCTTCAGTTTCCTGCTCCCCTTCTTCGAGTTCAACCGCGGACCAAGTTTCCAATGTCAACGGACTGTCCAGGCGCAAATCTGAGCTGACGTGAAGAAAACGTCCAGAACGCGTGCACGGAGAAAGCGCACTGCCCGTTACGATTAGACAATTCTTTTTCTCTTTGATTCTCCTGAAACGGTTCAAACAATGACAGGCTTCAGCGGAAGAAGAGCATCAGAATCACAAATCGACGCTGTTCGTCGTCCCCTCAGGTCCGCACCCCGCAGACCTGACCGCAGACACCCTCCAGCTCTCAGCACGTTTACAAGTGATCCAATTCAGGATGATCTCCACATAAGTCCAAAGCGAACGCGTCGTCGACACGGAGAGATCCGGTCCCGGACCCGATATCACACTGTAGACCTAGACGAGCAGAAAGCCTGGATATGCCACCAACTTCGGCGCAACAACCTCGACCTCGGGCCAGCCGATTCACAGGCGAAAACGAACCGAAGGCGACAACAACAACAAAAAAAGAAAAAACCACGAGGCGACCCACAAGCCGCTCGATCTTGTCGTCACCGCTCGTGACGTCGAGGCAGGAAAATGAGGCTCCGACAGAGCACGAATCGCACGAATAGCACGTACCGACTCGAGCGATGAATCGATTCCCGAGCGTGCAAGAAAGTGCGGATCAAGATTCTAATCAGCGGCAGCAGCTGCTACTGCGCCTCGTGCCGCGAGCTTTAAGCTCAATTTCCATTGACGATGGCTTCGCTCCCTCCGTCAATGACCCCGCGTTTCCCCGTCCTCGCCTTTGTCCTGGTCTGCGACTCCTGCTCCTCCTCTCGTCTCGTCTCCTCTACCCGTTGCCCGCCCACGCTCCTCCCCCAGCCTCGTCACTAAGGGCTCTCCACTTTCGGGGGAACGCGAGCTCTGCCCGCCCGGGCCCGATGCCAGGCGGTCCCTGGCCCGCAGCCCGACCTCCCGCTTCGACTATCGGGAGGGCCCTCCCGCTCGACCATCGGGCTCCTCCCTCGTTGCCTCCCTTCCCCGCAGGGAACTTGTACTCTGTAGTTTTTTTCTCACAAAACTGTGAGCATGTTTGGGGCCTCACCCGTAGTTTATTTTGTTCCAAGCTTGATTTGCAAAATTTCAACAATTTCGTAGTCTCGTCAACCAGCATAAATGTGACCTTCATATTAAATATTGGTAACCAAACCAAACCGTATGCGGAAACATTGGAAAGGAATCTTAATTAGAGTAATTAACCCATCATGCGCTTCGAATTGAAACCCATTAGGGGAATTATTTGATTTGAATGTTGATCAGAGTGTACATTATAAGTTTCTTCCTTAAACACTGTAAGATAATTATTTGAAGTGAAAGTTACTTCGCGTACCTCCAGCTTCTCCTGCCAATGCGAAGTGAAGATTTAGAAAAATGTCTCTCAGTCATTGTAATTTCATCATTATGTGCTTCTAACTGAAGCCTTATGAGAGAATTATTTGAAGCGGAAATTACTTCGATTACTTTGCCACGTAGGGACATACAGAATTTAACTGTAGCCCTCCGAGATAAAGACTTGAAGTAAAGATTATTATCTCAACTACTTCGACCTATAGCTGGAAATGCAAAATCTCATTTCGCGAGCACGAGAGAGACAGTCAGATGAGTCGAATCCGGCTCGGGCCGCAGTAGTAGCCCGACGCATAGTGTTTGCATCCCACTCTAAAATACAGCGCACATATACTGGGGAGTAACCCAAAATTGTTCACAGTGTTGTGATGAGAATAAAAAATGTCTTTGGTTAGCAATTCGACACTCGCCACTAACGGCTTCCCTAAGCCCGGGAGAGGGGCGGCACTCCCTAGTCGAAGCGGGAGGTCGGGGTGCGTGCGTATCGGAAAGCCTTCCCGGGCAGAGCTCGCGTTCCCCCGAAAGTGGGGAGCCGTTAATGACCGTATGCCGTCAGCCCACAGGCATACGGTCGGGGTTGATCTAGCCTGCAGTTTAGTGACGAGCCTCCTAGAGCTCCGCCGTCGTCGCCCGCTACTTCCGGAAACCTCCATCCACTGCTTTCCGGTACCACTTACTAGGTCGTCGCCTCTCCCTCACGCCTTACGTGGTTCCCTCCCTCCCTCCTCGTGGTAGCCCCTCTCGATGCCATGGAAAATTCCATATTCAGGCAGGCCTCTCGAGAGGGACATGAGTTTCACCCCGAGAAGCTTCTACGACGAAGGAAACGACATCAGGGAGACTATAATGAGAAAGCACTAATAATAATGTTTAATTGTTTTCTCCTGGGCCGAAACCGTGATCAAGTAGTATCGAAGCGGGTGGATAATTTTGAGGATGAATTTTCGGGTATGTGCCGCTGCTAGAAGAGCGTTACGATATTTCCGCCGGGCATGAGTGGTGGGAGGTGATGTCTGTTGTGTGGTGCGGCGTCAAGGAGTCAACGTGGTAGGAGGAGACTGAGTCAACGACGTAGCTTCGGAGATGATGTGAAGAGAAAGGGGAAAGGGGGCTGCCATTGAGGTGTGTCAGCGTCGGACCTTGCCAGGCGGAGATCTGAATCATGAGTCATCAATACGAGAAGCAACGAGTGACAGAGCTCCAAATTCGTCCTCGTCTGCATCCGAGTCAGTTTTTTCGATTTCAATCAGTTATTTAATCATTATGTTATTTGTTCCATTTTATCAGCATGTTTTCTCTCCGCCCGCGAGTCTGAGCAGTGCTTCCCTCCTGAAAATTTGCCCCGAATTCCTCGATCAGACAATTTGGCGTCTCAATCGCCGATCGGCCCGATTCATCATCGGAACGGAATTTGCATCCACGGAAGCAATGTCTGCAATTTCCTCAATTTCTGCGTATTTCCTTTCGGTAGAAATTTCGCCCGGTCTTCGGAACTCTCGTCGGCACGACAACGCGAAATGTCACCCATTGACTCAGCTCGCCATGACGGCTCAGTGACAAGCTCCACGGAACGGTGATGATGTAAAATCATGGTTATTTTCAGAACAGGAATATGTTTCCATGCCATTATGCCATGCTCTTCGAAAGGTAAAGCGAAAGATCCCTTCCAGCCAGAAATTCATGGCCAACTGCCATGATGCAATCTTGGCTCGCATCCTCATAGAGAATGGATATCATCGACTCCTCCTACAGCAGGGAACATTCTCCTGGCAACGGGGTCAGCAACGATTCGGGATCCAGGAGATCACTCCAGCCATGCTTGACTTGGGACGTGGATGAGAGGACTCTTCATGGCGGGCTACACCTTCTGGGAAACGCCACAAGTCATAAGCACTGGCGTGGATGATTACAGTGAGCCGAGTGAGACTCTTTCCGCTCGCCACAGGTCGCCAATGCGCAACACTTGTGCTCCCAGAAGACCAGGACGGTCGAGGACCTCGGTCTACCTTAGACCTTGGCTCCACAGTACCGGAAACTTACTAAACTTACTCCATTATCCATCAAGTCTTGAATCTTCTACCGAACGAGGGTTAGAGTGTCAGGCATTCTCGGGATGTTATATGGAGATTTGTTTTTGTGCCTTTGAATTTCGCACAACACTTTTTGTACAATTCGAGTCAGATGCGCAATGACCTAGTTGCTGCATTGACGGTTTTCACGACAGCTCGCTCTTCCGTCCTCGTTCTCTTTTACGAACATGTGTGCGCAAGCGTCTGTCCCACGTGTGCGAGCATTGTGCACTTTTGTGAGGGCAAAACCTAATTCAAGCTAAATCAACGTCCTGTCCAACATTGACATCGCATGTACCGATCAGCACAACTGCGAGACAGAGCACTTGGCGACCAGAAGAGCCCGTGTACTTTTGGATGGTTCGGTTCGGTTCTAACGGATTACCTCCAAAGTCTATCAAACAAACATGTGGCGTCCTTTCCCTCCTGCCAACTGGAATCTTATCAGCGAAGACATTGCTGCTGCCCGTAAGCAGACCAGAAGGAAGTGCAACAGCCCGGAAGCTGTTGCACTTCCTTCAGTCAGCTGAGCTGTTCCAGATTGTGTGCGTGCCTTTCAGTGGTGCGCTCGACAGAGGTCAGAGGAAGCAGGGAGGCACTGCGGCTTCAAACATGACTCGAACATCAGATTTCAATGTTTCATCAGATGAGCGAAAAGCAAACCGCATTCCAAATGTGTATTAAAAGCAAAGATTCACTTAAACTTTGTCTTTTTTTTAAATAACTGGTGAGCGCTTTACGGACAACGTCATGGATATGCTCCGTGAGATCAATGTCTGTTAGTGTCTCTTGTTGTCTAAGCTACTTGGCTCGAGAACAAAGAAGCAACTTGATCTCTGGATGTATTCCTTCCGACTTGCACATATCATTCCCACCAATCCGAAGGCATCAAATTTCCATGTTTCCTTCTTGGTTTTTCAAGTCTCTGTTTCTGGCCGTGCAAAGAGAGAGATCCAGGACGGATTCTACATGGGCTGTCAATCGGTCTGGAGCATAGGAACAGGCTCGACCTCTGACGCTGTCGAAAATTCTGCCGGTGCGGGATGGAAAAGGTGAGAAGTAAGATCCCGTTGGGTTGGAGAATCTCTACTCTACTGGACTCCTATGATCGACTGAAGTCCACGTTCCTGCACAAAGTCTTACGATGCCCTTGATGTAGACTTTTCTTGTAATTTGCACTCTTCGAGGTATCCAGCTGTGTTCAATTCTTTTGCTATATAAGGCGGGCTGCCACAATCTCGATGCAGGCCCTCTCAGCTGCACACACGGTGAATCAGAAGTCAGTCTTATCCCTCGAAGCTGGTGTCCTCGTCTATAGGGCACGAAAGTCAACAGAAAGTGATAACTTTTGTTCGCAGTGTAATCTGCAGCAGAGCGAGTTTCACGGATATTCGAAATCGGCGCTAGATAGGGCTTTGAATAGAATAGGTGACGAGCACACATCATCATCATCAATGGACATTTCCTCGAGACCTGTCATCGTTCAAACAATTATTCCCTCTCATGGACATCTTTTTCTACCCCGACCAAGCTCAATGGGTTAAATTTACATCCAGCGGAGAAAGTCTCATACGATGAGATTTCTACAGTACTTGGACTTGCTCGTAGAGATGTCACGCTTCGTGTATACTACGGGACAAAAGTTGGAAATTTTAGATACCATTTTGAAATTCAACAGTCAGAGAGATCCTTTCAGCAAATCAGGCGGTGCCAATAGAAAACAAAGAGTGTGTTAAGACCCCGTCAAGGATGAAATGAATTTAGTTCCGAGAGTCACCCCCACCATAAATATGAAAAGTGTCATAAAACGATTATACTAGTACAGAGTTAAACTTCCCAATAGTGTCACAACTCTTATTAGTGACATACTCTCGTTAGTAACATAAAATCCCATAACCATTAGGTTCTAACTTGTAAATTTACACAATAAAATTGGTACGTCATTATTCCCAATAATGACATAATATTATACAATATTGATAATTTCAAATGTAATTTCAGAGTAAAAATTCTTATCATTATCACAATACTTAGTTATGAGATTTAAAAAATGTATCATAAGTATATTAAAAGTTATATCTCAACAATTCACACTTTCTGGATTTAAGTAAGGATTTAGGGTTTAACCCTAAACACATAATTTGCTACATATATCATTATTGATTGTTTCGCTCAGATTTGTGTGTATTAATCTAAATTCAAATGTAATTATAATGTCCATGTTAACAATACAAATGTGCAAATGAAGGCCATTTTGAAACCAAACAACACACTTATAGAAAGTCTTAGGATTGATGCAATGCAGGATAAGAAATCTATGAATTTTTTTTATATATTTGACATCTCCCAATAGTGACATCTAACCCCAACACCAATGTATGTTACTATTAGGAGGTTATATTAAAATTATGCATCTCCCAACAATGACATCCAATTTTAACACCAATGTATGCTACTATTAGAAGGTTATATTCACTTTACTCTTGTGAGTGACACCTCGCAATAGTGGCGTAAAACCTAAGTACCAATATATGTCACTATTGGAAGGTTTAACTTAGAGAGCACTTGAAGAATCATAATCTAATCTTGTTGCTCTAACATGTATGGTATCATTTGTTATTTTTGTAATATTATAGATTTCAAAATAC